AGCTACCACCACACTAAATTTCAGCTTGATATCTCTTAAGAGCTTAAAATCAAGATTTCAAAATGATGGGGATTACTTTTGGCTACAACCTTACCAAATTCCAGCTCCGTTTTTCTAAAATAAAATAAAAAATGCCTGCGGTATATTTGAAATTATCTTTGGTGGGCATTTTGAATTTTGGATTAGCATTCAGATTCTGTGAAAGGTTATTCTCGGCTACTGTATCAATTTCCAGCTGTGTTTTTAATGGCTAAATTATAGCCCTTTGTAAAATTAGCATTAGCTGTTAGCTTGAATTAGGAATAATAATGATCATCCTTGGCTGACTATTTTCGGACTTTTTTTAAACTCTTCTGCTTTTTAAAGCAGAAGTGATACCTGGTCAAAATCAGAGATTTTCATCTCATTGAGTCCAACGACATAATATTAGAATTTTATAATAAAGTCTGGGAGGGGGGGAGCTGCCACAGAGCTGGAAAGAGTCAGTAACCATACCTATAGCCAAACCAGGGAAGGAGAATACAAAACCACAAAATTATAAACCAATAGCATTAACATCAATACTTGTAAAGTAATGGGAAAAAATCATTAATGATGGAATAGTATATTATGTAACAGTAAATATTATTTATCAAGGTATCAAAGTGATTTTTGAAAAGGGAGAAATACTAACGATCCGACACGAGAGCACAGGTAAATAAAGTGGGGTGGCAGTATTCTTATTGAGAAAGCGAATGATATGTTGCAGACGAAGGTTTATTAATTTAGTTTATTCATTCATTTAAAAACAAAGCAAATTCGGTAAACAAAAAAATACAAATGAAAAATAAAATGAAAGGCAGCAGAAGGATGAAAAAATCTTGTAATATCTGCGCCTTTTCCATCAGAAAATATTCAAACAATGATTAAAAAACAGGAAAAAAATAATGAAAAAAATTAACTCTTTCTCAGACAATTTTTAAGGATACATATTATGTCATTTCATACTTCTTCAACAGCTGGATTTTACCATTCTCCTAAACTTATAATTCTCCAGATTATTCCACAATTTTAGTCCTTGCAGTGAAGTACATCGTTCCTTCAAACTAGTTCAGATTTTAGGTTTCACAAACTCCTCTGTCCCTTTTAGATTGTTGTAACTTTTACTCTTAAAACTTATTGGGTGTTCAAAGGTAATTTATTTTTATGAGCCTTATATATAATTTTCAAAATGTTGTAATCAACCAACTCATAGAATTTCAATAATTTCAACTGACAAAATAAGGTATTTGATAAATGTTTTTGTGATGATTCTTATAGCTTTTTCCTGCAAAATAAAAACAGGCTTTGTAATTGTTTTACACCCTTTCCAACACAGTAAACCAAATGTGGAACAATCATTACATTATACAACATATACAAAGCTTTATCATTAAACAGCTCCCTTACTTTATATAGTAATGCAATAGTTTTAGCTACTTTTGTTCTTAAATAATTCACGAGGTCTCCGTGTCATCTTTTCATCAATGATGACTCCCAAAAACCTCACTTCACTGACTCATTGTTGACTCTAAATGGAATTTCAACACTTTTTTTTTATTACTAAATCTCATGTAATTCGTCCAGATTTAATGATAATTTATTTAGTTGAAACCAATTTTGTATCTGCATAAATTCTGTCTGCATCATCTTTAGCATCCGTTCTATATCTTTTCCCAAACAAAAGAACTTAGTAAGATCTGCAAACAAAACACACTTGAAAAGCCCTGATACATTTACCAAATCATTTATATATAAAATAAATAATTTGGGGCCAAGCACAGAACCCTGAGGCACACCACATATAATATCACAGAGTTCAGATTTTACATCATTTATTTGTACAAAATGTTTCCTGTTCGTCAAATAACTAGAGAGCCACTGTAGTGCTGGTCCTTGAATCCCATATTTATTCAGCTTTTCGAAGAGAGTGGTCACCGGTGTCAAATGCTTTCTTTAAATAAAAATAAAAATAAAATGCTAACACAATACTGTTTGTGACCAACAGCAGTTGTTATTTGTTTGATGAAATCCACAAGAGCCATTGATGTGGAATTATTTTTTCTGAACTCATATTGACTGTTACTTAGAATATATTGTTTATCAATAAACTGATCTAATCTGGTCACAAATAGTTTTTCCAAAATTTTTGAAAATTGTGGCAACAATGATGTAGTTATTAAGCATACATCTCTCACCATTCTTGTACAGAGAAATTACTTTAGCTATTTTAATTTTATCAGGAAAGATTCCTGTTGAAAATGACAAATTGCAAATATATGTAAATGGATCAACAGCATGAATCATTAACAGGAATTCATGGAAAAATGTTTAAATGGATACATTGTTTTTATTGAACAGAACAGTACAAGTGAAAAATAGGTTAAAAAACTGTCTAGAAAATATTTAAAAATGGAACACCTCAAGGGAATATTATCAGTTCATTATTATTCTATCATTGTAAACGACATATTTAATGACATTGAGGTGGAATGGGTTGTTCATTATTTGCAGATGATGGAGCTGTATGGAAAAGAGGCCGAAATGTACAATTTACCATAAAGAGGGGAGCAAAAATGATTGGTTGGTACTTGAACCATCTTTTGGGACTAGCTCCTACTCTGGCCCTGTGTCTCTATCTGAGCTTCCTCA